GCGAAGCGACTTGTTAATCGTCAGTAACTCATAGAGTGGCTAGATGAACGTGATGAATGATGTGATGTATGAGGACATACGGACAGACGATCTAGTAAGTCGTAAGACGACTAACTCGATCCTGACATTTCGCAAACTTGAAATTTCCAATGCTCTTGCCTCTTGCCACACTTGTCTTACCGCTGATGAAGCCTCAGCGAAAGCTACTTTCACTTCAATAGCTTCAGTCAAGACTGGCCTTTTCTTGGATAAAATATTAGATCATTCTCTACTTTAAAAGAACGAAATTGAAAATGTTAAGACAGGAGGGCAAATTTGAATGCAACTGGTCGTTAACGGCTGCACGCTCCATCGATTAATTTTTCAATTCCGTCTCCCAAATAATAGGCGGGGGGCGGTCTGTCTGTTTGCTGGCATAGTTTTAAGAAAATATAGTTTTCAGTACATTTTTACATACGACACTGGGGGGGTGGGTGACACCGAGAACGACCCTCAATGGACGTGCGACTAACGGTGGGCTGACCGCAAGACGATGCCTACAGAGTGGTGGTTTGGTGCGCACCTGCAGCACAAGTACAGTACGAGTAATAGCGGTAGGTACAGTGCGCATAGTACCTGTAATGCACTGTAGCCATTCCTGACCGTTGAGAAGTGCGCCAATGAACCAACACGAACGCACGTCATATTTCAGTGGTGACCACTTTTTCAGGTTCCCAACATCTAACAATGGGCTTTTTCTCGAGAAAGTTGAAGAAGACAGCGCAGTGCAATGCCGTGAATACAGCATCAGAAAGTGGTATAAGCATACGCTCAACACCTGGCACGAAGGATGTGCCGACTACACCAGAAACCGCCGACGGGGCAGAATCACCTGGCACTGCTGCACCAACAAATCCTGCTTCTATTTCAGCAGGGAGCGAAACAATGGCAGTGGATATCCAAGAGCCAAAGGTGGAAGACGACAAGAAATCCCGGGCAAAAAAAAAACACCGAACAAGAATCAGTGTCACAACTCCTGACAAGAGTGACAAAGATACCAATGTTTCGGGGGCTGCACGTCAAAATCAAGACGACAATACCCCTCCATCAACCCAGCATTTCGATGAGCCGGAAATGTATGAAGATAACAACACTAAAAATGACGCCCATAGGTCAGGTGATACTGAAGGAGATGAAACTGGGCTAGATAACACATTGTTTCTGGATGACGATGAAGAGAATTTGGAAGACGATGAAAACATTCAAAGTGAGGATACTACGGTAAACAGAAACCTGCTTGGTAGCTTTGAAGGATGTGATATTTTCCCAGATGCGCTGAAGGCGATGTTACCCGAGTCATGGCAACAAAGAGGCAACGGAACAGCCGAACAAGGTGTAATTTTGGTTGAGAAGCCGCCGAAAAAGATGTCCTACTATAGTGAGGAATTTGCAACAAAGTTTCTTCAGGTCAGTTTTGTGATATTTTATTTCAAAATGGTTTTACTTTTTATTTCTCTCATTGTTTTCTATCGGCGATAATGGCAATTATCACAGGAACTGCTCAAGAGCGGATTTGCACTTGTCTACCATCAGCCATCTTTGACCATCGAAGAAGAGAAAGCTGATTGGCAAGGTCGTTCAGTCACAATGAATTTCAAAACTGGCGTATGCAATGCATTGGAAGTTTTCCAACCAGAGATCGAGTGGTCTACGATGGGTGGTGGAAAAGAAACGAAGATCTTGACTCGCTCTGTCTCGTTGCTCGATATTCATTCTGTTAGTGTGTCCAGCGCCGATGACATGCGCGACAACCTAGAAGCTGGGGAAATCGAGGAAATTCAATGCTTTTTTACTTTGACAACCAAAACAGGCGATATCCACGTCTTTGAAGCGATGCACATAAACGAAAGCAAGCGACTCGTCTTGGGAATTAAAAATATATCTGGCCGCTATTCCAACCTCGTCGTGGCTGGTGATCCGCGAGTGGTGGTCGAATATTTTGACAATTCGTCCGATCCTCAAGAAATCCGATTGCCATTTGAACGGGCCATCGTGCAAGTATCACATGCATTCTTGGACTAATTGATTCATTCCTGTAGCTCTACCGTGGTGCTCTCATTTTATGTAACGAAAAAGAAGGTCAAGTTCGAAATGATGGAAGATAAATTAGTTGACTGCAAAGTTGTTGAATCTGACGCTTCTTGCAGCAAAATAGAGGAAATAGAATATAGCATTTGGCATATTCGACTGGTGCATTCAAACATTTGTGGTCGTATTTCTGTTTCTAATACTCTCAGCATCGATAGACAAGTCCTCATATTCGTGGAACCAAAACCCTGCAGCAATCATAGTGTAGATTCCAACCATTGTAAGTCCTACGAGCCAGTTTGTGGTTCCGCGTTGTAGTATGGCTGCAACCACAATAACAGCCAGAAAGAGGCAGACGGTCTCATAAGCATGAAAATATAGTGTCATTGATCGGTCAACAAACATTCCGATGACGACACAGCCAGGCAAAACAAACGTGGCAACTTGAATAGCACTTCCAACTGTGACGCCCACACACAAATCCATCTCGTTCCGATAAGCAAACAAAATTGCGCTAACTTGTTCCGCAACATTTGAAAAGAAAGGAACAATGACCATAGAGGTAAATACTTCGCTGATCTCAAGACGAGAGGCAAAGCCATGAATTGTGTCTACAAGAATATCACTCAGCGCAGAAATACCAATGGTGATAACGAATAGCCAAAGTATTCCAACCCGAAAACTGATTTGTGGTTCAGGGGCCCTTTCACCTGAGGAGGAAAACTCGATGATTACTGGCGAAACGGTGGACGACCTCAAGTGATAAACGTGACTTACGTCGAGGAGGTTCTTCTGATGGATCTGCCAATCCAAGCGGTAGCATGGGTCTTAAACCCTTCTTGTTCTTTTTCCTTACAGTGGTTCCTGGCAACAAACCATTTGCTTCGTTGTCCAATAAAGACTTCGGCGCTGCTGACTTTCTCCCAACCCTCGAGCAATTGTCGTTTTCCTCGTAGTAATCGTCGAAATAATGATCGTGAAAGGTGACATCACGCGCCGGTTCATTGCGGGGCAGAAGGAGCTTATCGCCTGATGAATTGCTCGAACTTTCAGAGCTCATACTACTCTTCGAATCATCCAAACATAATTCTCTGCTTACTCCATTCGGCAGGTCAAGATTATCATACGCTTTTGATGCATTTGACAGCTCCACGTCTCCAGTGTACGACAACGAAGGTTGGTAATGTCGTCTCAAAAGCCTCCCCCAAAGCCGCAAGCAAAAAATATTTCTTCCCGTGTACATTTTTTCCCCCCTCTGTACTACATGATGAGGTCCCAGCCTTTCCTGTTTTCCAGTAGGTATCGTGACTGTGTTGTTGTCATCTTCAAACTCTTCATTGTGTGTTCCAAGTTGAAAGACAAGGAAACAACCATACATGAAAATCATTATCGCTGCATTGATTCTACTGAATTGTAGTTCTTGTTGGGATGGCATGCTATTGGAAGATGCTCCCTGAATTTGGCCCGATGTGACAAGTGCGGCAGGAAGCAGTGACCCAGAAACAGCTAAAAGCAAGAGACCAGCGTTGACATTGCCACTGGTCATTCTTAGCTCTTGAACTTGCCACCGCAACCCACCGACCACGCATGACATACCGAATACAAATAAAAGATTTGTAAGCATAGATCCAAGCATTGCAAGCTGGACAACGCGGTAATAGCCAGAGCGTAAGGCTGCAGTTGCAATTAACAGTTCTGGCGCATTTCCAAATGTCGCATTCAATAAGGCACCGATCGTTCCATTCGTGTGCTCAGCGACCTGCTCGGTAACATATGATAATCTATTGTGTTTCACAGATATGTTTTAGCATCAGAGCCGTTTGTAATTGAAAATAAAAAATGACAGTCGACGTATGGCATACCCATAGCGTCTTATTACACTTACCGCTCTGCACAGGGAATTAAGGCGATTCCAGAGAGGGCAAAACATAAGGCTTCGCCAAACAATTCTGTTGAGTCGCCGATTAAGACAATTGGGCCCAACAGTAGAAGCCAAGACATCTTGTTGTAGAACAGAAGTGATAAAGACCTCCACACATCGAGCAGTATGTTTCTCCCCATACTATGAGACCCAACAAATTCGCGTTCAGGGTCCGACATTACCCAAGGTCTCGCCTTTGAATGGCGAGATATTGTCTCCAGTTGTTCACCAGCCCCTGCGTCGTTTGCCGCTGGCAACACAATGGGAGAATTAGAATTTGTCGCCCCACAATTAAAACTGATTCCTCGTTGCCTAATAATGATGTGAGTCGAGAGATACCTCAAAGCGAACAACAAAGCTTCGTTGTCCCAACCGTTGAAATAGATATTCTAATATAGCGCTTGCAGCAAGACGGGGTAATTTTCACAAAATAGGGGCAAAGGGACAGACGGGGTTCATTTCTTCTCAAGCGGGTTGCGTGGCCAATCAAATTGCGATAAAAATAACGGTCATGTCACCTGTGTGAAATGA